TATAAATTTAAAAAAAAGAACTATTGAGCTCAATTGAGTATATTTAGGTTGAATATAAATTTAAAAAAAAAGAACTATTGAGCTCAATTGAGACCATAATCTGGATCACAGGTTAAGCCACAACACCGTGGCTATTTTTTTTCTTTAATTTTTCTTTTCTTTAATTGGTAATTTTTTAATATGTTTTTTTTTTAATTTTTGTTTTGATTAGTATCCCTCTTATGTGAATTTTTTTTTTGGGGGGGGTTATTTAGCCTTTTTTTTAATTGAGATTTTTTTAATTATTTTATATGTATTTAATTTTTGAATACATTATTCTAATTTATTTATATTTTTTTTCATCTGTTATTTAGATGAACTTTCCTTTATGAGTTCTAATGAGTAAGAAATATCACCTAGAGTAAGAAATGCTATTATTTAGGTGGAAGCTACATGAGCATTATTATTTAGGTTTATGTAAAATGTTAAATAATTCAAGATATAATTTTTACTAATTAGTTGAGTAAATATAATAATATTTCATTAAGAAAAATTTAAAGCTAAATATTACTTATTTTAATGCAGTAATCTATCAAGTTATTATAACTATATGAATCTTCAAGTCTTTGTATATTGATAAGATAATTTTCATTAATGAGAAGAATTGTTAGAAATTTGTTTTAAAAAATGGTTTATATATATATATATGTGTGTGTGTGTGTTTTTGAGTTCAAATTAAAAGTAGAGTCTATTTATTTTTAGTGTTAAGTTTTTTTAGGAAATTATTCTTTAATAAAAGTATTATAATACAAAACATTAACTTGTTTAAAATAAATCATGTGTGACAGAAATATTAATTTTAGAAAACTCTTAATTAATATATTTTATAAACTCAAGAACTCTCAATTAATATTACAAGATTTTCATATAGCTTATATTATAAAAACTTAAAGAGTTGACATTAGTTCCATGAAGTTGACATTAGTTCCATGAAGCACCAGTAGTTTAAGAGAAGGTAGGCATTAGGTTAAGTAGGCTTTGGAATCAAGCCATATGTGCATGCTCCCTTGGCTTGGGTTTAGGTAAAATAATATTTCGGTTCGTAAGGAATTTGTTTTTTTTTTTTTTTGCTAACCTATTTTCTGTCAAGCCATATATAAATAATATAAATAGTAACCATCCTTTTCTTTAATAGTTTATTTTTTAAGAAAAAAAGTCTGATTTTGAAGGAAAAATTGCCATGATTTTATTTTTTATGATAATTAATTAAAATTAATAAAGAATAAATATTAATTATGATAATTAATAGAATTAATTCCACATCATCTTTTAATAGTCAAATTATGAAAAAGAATCCATCAACTCAAGATTGATTGCACACTTATACGTGGGTATGTGGATTGAGATATATAATAATTTTCAAGAAATCACTCATTCTAGTACTTTTATAATTAAAATACATGTAACTTCGGATCAGGTATATCAAGCCAGACATCCAATCGCATGTCTTCCGACTAGTCTATTAGGCCTCTTCACTCTTAAGTTCGAGGTCTTAAGAAAACATGTGAATTAACGTACACATTTTTTTGACGTAATGCCTAATTTACATGTGGTATAATCTTAACTATGTTACTTTCGTTATTGGGTACTTTATAAATTTACTTCATTAATAGTTTAGTATCAGGGGTATTGTAATATATATATTCCACGTAGGTTTATATTATCCATACCACAAATTAAGATAACATTATATATGTATAAAAACAAGCCATGATAATATCAAAAAATTATCTTAATCTAATAATTTTTAAATAAATTTTTTTTTAGCCTTAAAACTTATATAGGTTCAAATTATTTTGTGTTTAATTTTTATTAAGTAAATAAAAATAATGAGATTTAAATCCATAATCATTTGAGTTATCAAAGTTACGATGACATATTAGAAAACTATTTCAACTTAATAACTTAAATTATTATATAAAATTTTAAAATATAATTTATATTATTATTTAATAAACATGAAATTCCAATATAAAGATAAAAATGAGAGCTTGTGTCTTGAGAATAATGCATCCCATTTCTTTTATTTTTCTATTTTTGTCATGGATGTGATCTCTTTTCATGAGATACATGCTCTTTTGCTTTTTTATAAGGATATTTTTATAATATAAGGATTAATCTTGTTATTTCAAAGATTCTTGAAAATCCATGTTTCAATTGCCATGCATTTAAGCTTGCATGAAAACTATACATAATTTATCCATATTTGTCTTATTTGTAAGTGTTGGATCAAGGAAAAAATTGAATACGCTACCAACACCATATATATATATATATATATATATCATCCCAATTTTTGTCATGGAAAAAAATCATTTTTCTTGGACATTTAGATGGAAGAGCCGCTGCACCGGATTAAAATACCATATGTAATCGATTGTGTAGCTATTTATCCTTTTGTTAAGGGTAAATATATAGTGCCAAGAATTAGAAAGAAAATCCATCAAATTATTCGAACGGGCACATGACACCAAGTTGATAATCTGGGCCTGGAAGGCAACATAATAGTCTGCTTCTTAGAAGAGAAAACAGGTTACGTCTGCAAAGTTCAATGACAAGTTTCCTTCTCGTAAAATTTGAATAAGAAGTGGAAATCATTTTAAAGATCCATGAACGAAACTTCCATTGCAGAAAGCAGTATAGTAAAAATAATTTATTATTATTATTTTTTAAAAATTTATTTTAATATTAACATATCAAAATGATTTGAAATACTAAAAAAATTAATTTTAAACAAAAATATTTTTAAAATACAAAATTAAACAAATTTTAAATAGTTATGCGATAACATGCTTTTCCACTGGTCCCCAGATATTGCTTCAAAGTTCAAATAGGTATACATTTCTTTAACTTTTTTTTTTTGTGGAACTTTAAATACCAACCACAATTTATTTTAATGTTGTCCTGAAACCTTATGTAGATTAATATACGTGTAATGAAACAGATCCACATCATGATCTAATACATAATTGCCGACTCACTCAACATAGAAAACTCGGCATCTCTCTTCTTGATATTGTTCTCATCATTGAAGGATTAGTGCCTTGAAAAACAGTCCATTATCATCATTAATTTGAATGTTTTTCGTAAAGTTTCTCCGCTATATATATATATAATTTTCTTTTAAAATTACAATTAATTGTTAGAGACTTAGAGGACGTAAATACCTAGTGTTTAATTATCAAGTTGCAAATGTAAATATGTAATATATCACTTTCGTGTTTCCATTTTCAATTATGGTAATTAAATCAGAAATTGAAGCAGAAAGAAATACGGTTTGATCAAATTAACTTCTGAAGACTGAGAATTAATTTCACAAGAACCTTATCGATACGCTAAAAGAAGATTGTAACTCATTGACTTGGATGCTATTGCCAGCTCTTGAAATGGACGTCCCCGTCACAATCATGACGGGATTATCATATATATATATATATATAAGCACCTTCTAATTCTCTAAACAAAGCTAATTATTATCGATATATTTCAAGTGGAAACCATGTTTATATAAAAATAAACCATCTCAACTTTATTTTATTTTTTTCAACTCCTTTTTATTATTCGGGTCCCTTTTTCATTGTATTATTTTGCTTTTCATTTAACAATTGGAATGAAATTTCATAAAATTAATGCTCTGAAATTATAAAATAGTATTTGAAATTACAAATATGTAAAATAATGTGAGGCTAAAGAAATATTAAAAGAAAACATAATGAAATAGCAATATAGAAAAAAACACAATCCATTAAGGATTATAATAATTATTCACAATGTATTTTTTTAATATTTTTGTCACTTAATTATTTTATTTATAATTTAATTATTTCATATTAAGTTCATATCTTATTGAAGTTGATATTTTGTTTTGATTAACTTTGATATAGGGCTCTCACAATATTAAAAATAAATTTTAATGTTGGGTTCATGTTTTATATAGCAAAATAAAATTCAATTTTATTGATTTAAATCAATTCAAGATTTAATTTCAAACCGAAACAAATATCTAATTTTTTTTAAAAAAATAATATATTTATCTCAATTTCCCGACTCAATCTTGATTGTAATTAATAGATTTATTATTATTATTTATTAACATATATAATTTTTAATATATATATATATATATATAAACTTTTGGATTTGCAATAAAAATATTAAAATATCAAATAGCTTGATTCATGAGAAATGCTCTATTAAAAAAATTAATATATTTATCTCAACTTCCCGACTCAATCTTGATTGTAATTAATAGATTTATTATTATTATTTATTAACATATATAATTTTTAATATATATAAATATAAATTTTTGGGTTTGCAATAAAAATATTAAAATATCAAATAGCTTGATTCATGAGAAATGCTCTATTAAAAAAATTAATATATTTATCTCAACTTCCCGACTCAATCTTGATTGTAATTAATAGATTTATTATTATTATTTATTAACATATATAATTTTTAATATATATATAAAAAAACTTTTGGGTTTGCAATAAAAATATTAAAATATCAAATAGCTTGATTCATGAGAAATGCTCTATTGTTCTTATTAAAAAAAAATATCGTTTGATGCGAGGAAAATGACATCAGGAGGGCATTAATCATTTCCAAGTTGTAGCTTACTTTGGTCAAATAAATTATTCTATCAAAACATGCTTATCCTCACAAGTTATAAGGTGTTGGCTTTGTGTCTTTGTTTTCATAACTAACATATAGCAGGGTTTAAATTAGTTGTCTTGTGCTCATAATTAATGTAGTATTACTAATCAAATAAAAGGCGGTTGGTCGGCTTCCAATCATATAGTGCTCCTCCATTCATATGGGTCCCATGGTCGGTGCCGCCTGTGATGCTTATTGCTAAATTCGCATCGCAGAGCACCAGTGGTGCTATAATATAAACCACGCCCGTGAAATCAATGCAGCCCATAGAAACACAAACAAGAACTTGAGCTAGCTAGCAGTAATTAAGCTTAATTGGCCCAGGACTACTGATCAAGCAAGAATGGTGAAGATAGCTTTTGGGAGTCTTGGTGACTCTTTCAGTGCTGGCTCTCTCAAGGCTTATTTATCTGAGTTCATTGCCACTCTTCTTTTTGTGTTTGCTGGTGTTGGATCGGCTATCGCTTACAGTAAGTAGTAATCCAATCTCTGGGATTTTTGCATAATCATGTCTTTAAAAACTAAAAAAAGAGGGACCATGATGGAAATTTACACAAATTTTACTATTTACTAACAAAATGGTCCTCTTGCCATGCACGTAATTAAGAGGTGGTTGGAGCATAATCTCTTTAATTAATGGTTTAACTTCTAATCACCAGAGCAAAATTATTTTGCATTTTGTCAAAGAGACATTAATTATCTAGTTCGAAATTAAGTAAGAATAATATATATGCTAATTTTTGCTTCTATATGTTACAGGTAAGCTCACAACAGATGCAGCCTTAGACCCACCTGGCCTAGTGGCGGTTGCTGTGGCTCATGCATTTGCACTGTTTGTGGGAGTCTCCATAGCAGCCAACATTTCCGGTGGCCATTTAAATCCAGCTGTCACCTTTGGACTGGCCATTGGAGGCAACATCACCATCCTTACTGGCCTTTTATATTGGATTGCTCAATGCCTCGGCTCCATTGCCGCCTGCCTCCTCCTCAAAGTCACTACAAGCGCTGAGGTAAAACACCAAAATTAAAGCCATGTGCCATATGAAGACGGGCATGGAAATTCCTAGACGTTTATCAGGATTTTGAACTGCTGATCATATGTTAGTCGTACAATTCAATAAATCTCCAGTTAATTATCACTGAATGTATCAATCTCAGAGTTGTTTTAATGGATTTCACAGAGCATCCCAACTCATGGGGTCGCTTCAGGGATGAGTGCTGTTGAAGGAGTGGTGATGGAGATTGTCATAACCTTTGCCCTTGTCTACACAGTCTATGCCACCGCCGCAGATCCCAAAAAGGGCTCCATTGGAATTATAGCACCCATTGCAATTGGGTTCATTGTTGGTGCTAACATCCTTGCTGCTGGCCCGTTCAGTGGCGGCTCAATGAACCCAGCTCGCTCATTTGGCCCAGCTGTTGTTAGCGGAGACTTCTCACAGAACTGGATCTACTGGTTAGGTCCACTCATTGGAGGTGGATTGGCTGGGCTTGTTTATGGAGATATTTTCATTGGGTCTTATACCGCTGCCCCAGTTTCCGAAGACTATGCCTAAAGGTTGCATAGGCTTGCTTTGTGTTGACTTGTGAATTGTACTCTTTTTTTTTTTTTTAAAGTGGGTTCGGGCGTGCAGTTTGTCAATGGCCAGTTATAAATTCTCTTACCTGTTTGTTAATAAGATGAAAATATCTTTAATGAAACTTATGCTGTTTGTTTCCTATAAAGTTTTTTTTTAATATTTTTTATGAAAAATAAATTATTTTTTATTTTTTAAATATTATAAAAAATAAGTTAAGAAATATTTTTAGCGTTTAGTTATATTATAAAAAGTGAGTTGAAAAATAACTTATTAATATTTTAATTTTTTTAAGTTTATTAAAAAAAATAAAAATCACATCTTACAAATTAAAAAATTAAAAAATTCTGAAATTAAAAAAATTACAATCAGAATAATCAAGATCAAATATAATAGATAAAAAATTATAATTTCATAAATTATTTTAAATAATATAAATAAAAATTAAAAAAATAATAATCAAATCTGATAAATATAAAATTTCAATTAAAAAAAAAAGATAAGAGAAAAGTAAATAATAATTAAGAGAATGAGGTCCAAAATTGATATAAAAATTAAGTTTAATCAAATTTTAGAAGCTGAAATTAAAAAAAATTCAAAACAAAATATATAGAAATTAAAATATTAAGTATCAAAATTGATATAATCAACAAATAACAAAATATTTTTAATTTTTTTATAATTTTGAAAAAGTATTTATTGTTCAAAATAAAAAAAATATTTTTTAAAAAATTAAGATAAATTTTTTTGTTAATATAAAAGTGTTTTTCGTTAATTAATAAAAAAATATAATTTTTTTTGAAAAAAACTATTTTTTATAAAATAAATGGAGTTTTAGTGCTAGTTTAGTTTTGTAATAAAAGTGCTTTTTAAAAGTATTTTTTATTTAAAAATATTTTAAAAAAATTAAAAAAGAATTATCTTTAATATTAATATGTTAAAATTACAAAAAAAAATCACTAGAAAAAACATCAGTTCAATATTATTTTAAAGTAAAAATATTTTTAAAATACACTACCAAAAAGCACTTTGCTATCACTGGAAAAGTCGTCTTTCAATACGGAACCGTTTCCATAATGCTATCAACGGCAATGAGTTTTGCAAACAATATCGAATATTAATAGGTTGGGCCCACTTGAAGGATGTTACATGATGACCTAGTGGTTAAAAGTTGAGAAATTTACTCAGGAGGTTGCGAACTTGTTTAATAAAGAAAAAAATATAATTTATTGTTCATATTTCCCACGGTGGGACACTATTTTTTACATTCGAAATGCAGGCAAAAAAAACCACAATGAATTGCTGCGCACTGTTCATAAAATTAAACAGGATGAACAGTATAGGATGTTAATTACACTGTTCAGTGAACAGTGTAATTAGATGCTACGCAATGTAATTAGCTGGTGCACTCTTCTGGTCGGACCAATGATCCGATCCGAAGCTCAATATACATTGAGTTTGATCCAGTAAAACAAAAAAATAAAAAATATTTTTTTTATTTTTTAATTATATTTTATTCAAAAAATTAGTGTTTGACATTATTTAATGACATTACATAAATTAGATAGAGATCACTTGATAATGTAGCATTTGTAAAATTTAATCGCAATTCTAATTTTATTTCTAATTATATTTTATGTAATTTTGATACACGTTTAAAAAACCAAAAAAATTATAGTCCTTATCAAATATATTTCATACGTGATGGAATTATAGATAGTTTAATTGAACAATAAAACATATTTTATATAAAATATTATTTATTTTATGATGTAATAACAATAGTTAAATTTATAATATTTAAATTAAAAACTATCAATATTAATATATATTTTTTAAAATTATTTTATAACATCAATTTCAAAATCATTATTAACCAAACACATTAAACATCGTTTTGTTTAATATTAATTTCAACCACAGTTTAAACCAAATATACATAAATAGTAAATCAACCTTAATCAAAAATACTTTTTATAAAATAATTTTTTTCAAACTACAACAATTATTATAATATTAAACCCATCCAAATGACTCTGTTTGATCTGTATTTTGTTTAAAATGCAGATGGTAACCTGTTTGGTAAAGAAAAATATATAATTTACCGTGTATAAAAGACAACACTGTTTCATGTAAGTAATGTATACTGCACTGTCATGCTAATTAATTAGTATGAATAGTGTAGCATCATACACTGTTATGCTACATTGTTTATGTTGGCTACATTATTTGTAGTCAGCTCTATTGTTCTGGTCGAATCAGTTTTGGTTCAAAATTTAAAATGCATTGAATTAGGTCCAACCTAGTAAAATAAAAAATAAAAATTATTTTTTATTTTTTAATTGTGTTTTAGTTAAAAAAAACTAGTGTTTAATATTATTCAATGACACTGCATAAATTAGACATAGATCACTTAATGACGTAGCTTTTGTAGAATTTGAACGCAATTCCAATTTTGTTTCTGATTATATTTTACTTGATGGTACTGCATACTTAAAAAACCAAAAAAACTGAAGTCCTTATCAAATATATTTCATACATGATGGGATTGTTGATAGTTTAATAAGGCAATAAAAATAATTTTATATAAAGTATTATTTATTTCACGATCTAATAACAATAGTTATATATATACAATATTTAAATTAAAAACCATCAATATTAATATATATTTTTAAAAATTATTTTGTAACTTCATTTTCAAAAGTATTATTAACCAAATACATTAAACTATTTTTTTTCAACTTCAATTTCATTCATAGTTTTAACCAAATATATATAAATACCAAATTAACCTTAACTAGAAATATTTTTTATAAAATAATTTTTCTCAAATCATATCTAGGTACCATAATATTAAACTTGCTAGTGGCATGAATAGAAATAGAAAGATACTTTGTTTTTGAAAAATTTTATTTTTTTAAATTTTAAATTTTTTATTTAAGGAATTTTTGTGTTGAATAATTTATTTAGAGACCATTTACATCTTGACCAACAGTACAGGGCCTTATATATTGTACCTTTTTTTTTTTTTTCATTTTTGTGGCAAGGAGCATTGTGATTTTGATGACGTGTTGCCCTAGGAGCCAGCTTACTATAATTTTTTAGATTAATGTGGATGTCCGAGCTAGCTTGCGTGCTCAAGGGCCTAGTCGCACTGTGTTTCTTTTCTCATCAAGCATGGGCAGGGTAGGGCTGTCGTAGAGTCTATATATTTGAATGTTACACGTGCTTTACACATAAAGAAAAATTATATGGAGTTCTCTATGGTTTTGGTTTTTTTCTTTCTTTATCTCCATCTTTTGTTCAATAATTATAAGTAACCACCTGAATCATATACTATAAATTCATCAAACCACAACTTTTATCACAGTATTCAATTGAAGTTTCACAAGCTCAATTTCAAAAGCTAATTTAGAGTTTTATAGGGTAATTGATATTATAATAATGATAATGGTTTAAAGTATTTTTCATTTAAAAATACATAAAAATAATTTTTTTTATTTTTTAAAAATTAATTTTAATTTTAGCACATCAAAAAAATCTACAAACATAAAAAAATTATTTTAAATAAAAAATTTAATTTTTTTAGTAACACGACTTGTATTTATATTTCCAAACATATCTTTAACTTATTTTTTTTTTTAAAAAGAATCCTGCATCTCCTATGATTAGTTCCTGCATATTTGAAATTTGTTTTATTACTTGTTTTGCCCTTAGCAGCTGGGACAAGCTACTTTAAGAATTTTTTTTTAACCTGTTACCATCATTTATCATTATAATTAAGTGAATTTTCTTCAAGATATAAAATGGATTGCTTTAGATTTGAGGGGGGAAATAGAAAACGATACAAGATTTTTCATACCACACCTAAAATGCACTGAGAATTTGTTAAAATCTTGATGGTCGCGGCCCCTCCCCTCCCCTCCTTTTTTTTTTTTATCCCTTGTCCCCTCCTTTTTTTTTATCCCTTGTAATTCCATCCCCGTGTGTGTGCATACATATATATAAACAAACAAAAATTGGAAGAACTCAAAATTATATTTTGGAAAAAAACCAAATTGGAAAGAGAAACAATAAATTGTGATGTGACACATGAATCGATGCAACAACACTCTAACGTAAATGTAATGCAAGGCTGGCTTACCTCCACCAACTTACCAACATAATGTAGGGGGATTCATACTCCCCATGTGCGGACAGGTAGTATTTTAATAATTGCTTGTTAGAAATTAAACATATTAAAATATAATATTTAATATAATTTGATAAATCATCTATATTTATAAAAAAAATTATATTATTAGAAATAAAAAAAATTATAACATACATAAAAAAAAATCATTCCACTTAATCGTTACTCTTAAATCTCTTGTTGTACTTATTGTTACTGTAATGGCAACAAGATTGTTTTTATTGCAAGCTCTTCAATTTTTATTTTAGTTTTTATTTATTTACACTTAATGAAGTTTTTTTTTGTGTCTATTTATAAGCAACAATGGTGACACCAGCTATAGTTTTTCTTTAATAATAATGACTGCTAACTCTAGTTTTTTTTTAATAATGATAACTATCAATTTTTAACATCTTAAATCAGTATACATGGTTAATACAGCTCTAGCTCTAGCTATTATATTTATCAATAGATGGTGCTATTAATTAATGGTTGGTTTATGATAATGACAACCAACCCAACGCAGAATACCTTCAATGCTATATAAGAATGTGTTGGTAAAAGTGTAACCATATGACGTAGCCACAGGAAGCCCCCAAAGAGTACATAACAGAGAACAAAAGATGCAGCAGGGTTTCAAAGTCCTGAAGAGTGCTTTAAACAAGACTACTCCGTTTTCCTTTCTTAGAAGGACCCTTTCCTCATCACTCAACAGTGCTACAAATAGCTGTGAAGATCTTGAAAATTCGGTAACTTCTCAGGAATCGCACCCGGATTGATGTATAGACGTACGTCTACACGATGCGTTTTAATCAGGTGACTGCTCCTTGTTCTTTCAGGTGCTGGTTGAGAAAGGAACAAACTCAAGAGTTGTCATCCTTAATAGACCCCATGTCCTGAATGCTCTCACCACTCCAATGGTATGATTATGCACAGTCATTTTCATTCAACACTCCTGCAATTCTTGTTTATTCATGATCCTATAAATTCTATCGTCTTTATTGGGTCCATAAACATGTAGCTCCCCCCCAATTCTATACGTTTTTGGCAAGTGTATTCTTGCAACTAGCTGATGCTCGCTAGAGAAAATGGCTACATTTGGGTTTTTGATGCTATAAATTATCAGGGACATCGGCTTACTAAACTGTACGAGTCCTGGGCGAACGATCCCCTCGTTGATTTTATCGTGCTGAAGGTAAGCATTTGTTTTTCAGTTTTGGTTATACGAACTGTGTATTCTGCTTCACCGCAGCCCCTCAACCACAGCGTTTTGAGCTTCCTGTAGGGA